ATATTACATGTTCACTTGGAGATACGAATTTTATCTTCTCTTCGCTACACTCACTCGTGAGAGATCTTTTCAACACTCGAACATAAAATCCGTATCTCCGCGCGCCCATGTAATATCCTTATTCCGTGAAATTTAATTAACCTCTTCATACTATATATTTTGAGCTTATTAGAAAATGGCGTCCGTAAAGAACAATCAATGGCGATTTAAAGGAAGTGCTGCTTACGTAGCAGATTTAGCGCAGTTTTGTGCTCTTTTGATTTTGTTCAGTTTCAGGGATTAAATGCGTGCACTCTATTAATAATTCTATTTATTAATAGTTCTATTTTCGATCAGAACATAATGGCGGAAGAAATAACGTTTGAATTAAATAGACATAAAGCAATTGYAAAATCCTTTGCGTCCTTTTTGCGTTCAACTTAACCTACTAAGGCCACAAACAGGCTTTAGTTGTCCTTTAGATACTTGAAWTGGCGACTTCTAACAGCTCATCGACTTGTTTGATATCACCAGACTTCGACCATTTCAATATCACTAATTTGCCAGATTCRGTGCTAMCAGTTTGGACCGTTCTCGCCTGCGTCAACGCCATCGCTTCTCCATTTACAGCGGTTTTCAATGCCTTAATAATCTGGACGGTGTTGGGGAATMATCAGTTGCGATCAAACAGCTATAACACTTTGCTGGTGGCCCTTGCCACAAGTGATTTCCTGGTCGGGTTATTGGTAGAGCCTCTGTACTCTTGGTTTTTCGTATGCCTACTAACTGAATGCGGGATATGTATATTTACTSTCAAYATGTTAACGATTGTACTTTGCTCTGGATTTAGTGTATGTGCTTTGATGATGGCAAGCGTGGAGAGATATCTTGCTATACAACTTCCTTTCTGGCATCGAGCCCATGTTTCACCACAGAGAGTGAAGAAGATAGCAGCGGCGATATGGGTAACTTTGCCAACAACAAYACTAGTACAAATAATTATCTTAAATAAATATGAATCCTTGAAAAAACTCCCAGCACTCAAGTTCATTGTGGGCATGATCCTCGTAATCCTGTACTGCACCATCAAAGTATCGATCACAGCATATAACAAAAAGAAAGCCATTAAACCAACAGCAGCGTCCCAGTATGCACAGCAAGATGAACACCCAAAGCAACAGATTAAAGAAYACAAGCAAGCATTTACATTGACCATTTTGGTGTTTTTATCCGGCATCATGTTATATTTTCCTCTCATTATTGTTAACATCATACAAACAGTTAGAGGAAAAGAAATCACTCCAGAGTTCAAGTACATTGCCCAGCATATTGTAATTACCTTGGCGAAYCTAAATTCATTGGTCAACCCATCTATTATAACACTACGGATTAAGAAGATCAGAAAAACTTTGACAACAAAAATTATGTCATGTTTTTCTGGATATTAAAGCACTACGAACACTTCCGATAAATTACGGGTATAGATTGGTTGAAACGGTATTCTTA